TTCATCTGTGTTGTTTCGCGTGAATTTCAGTATAATTGTGGAATGCAATGGATATTGATTTTGTCATTCCGATGTTTGTCCCGATCAGCTCGTAACTGTATACGGAGATTGTCGATTTTCCTCATAGATATCCTATAAATTTGTTGATGCGCGCGAGTAATAGATGCAGGAAAAACAACAATAATCCGCGAAACAAATATTCAGCTTTGAGAATTAAAAGAGTATTTTATTGACAGTAGTAAATCGCGGAAAACGATCAGTCGTAATAAAAACATTTTATTTATAAACATAACACACTTGTATAGATATGTGTGTGCTATTAATGTATATATTTTTCAATACAATTTATAAATAGGAAATCTATTCCAAAGCTTTTAATTCAAAGCGCTTGATTATAATTATTATAAATTTAAATTTATTTTTATTTTATTATCAATTGCTGTTCACTATCGAAAAGAGAGGATTATTGTTTGTTTCCCATATTCTTCGAAATATAAAGCGCTTGATATTCACTGCATTTTTCTATATATCTGCGCATTCCTTGGCCAATTTAATATCGACCCTATCTTAGTAAAGTTGACGAGATGTCAATTGATTTCACAAATTTTGTTATGTTTGTAGATTTTCAATTTTACCGATTCTTGCGTATTTTCACGTTACCCGTTATTTCCTGATTTATTATTCATGAATGTGCAGTTCTTATATAGAACGTAGGTTTTAATGCTAGACACAACGCAAAATTCATTCTCGTATAAATAATATTTTTCACATTTATCATGGTGACAAAGAGTTTTACCGTGGAAATACTGATTTTTATATCCCTTAGGTACAGTCGGTCGAGTATAGTATAGTTAAGAGAAATATTTCCTATAATTCTACTAAGTTAAAAGGCATATTTCTATTCTCAAAGTGCTGTTCGTTTCCGTACGTGAGTTATATATCATTCTGCGCGTTTCTTTTCGATCCTATCTACCGATTGTGCTCTTTCTATCGGGTGTCTACGTTTTTCTTTCAATATGATGGACATCACACATATACATTTTTCTTAAAAACAAACACACTTTAAGAATTGCGATTGATCAAGGAATGCGCGGATATAAGAAACTATGATAGATGTCTCATATTTAGAAAGATATACGAGAAAGAAACATGATAACTTTATTTTTCGATAGCAAATAACATTATTTAATTAAATAATTTTATTTTTCAATAGTAATAAATCCGTAATAAAAATAAATGTTACTCTAGTCACACAAACGTTTTTAATTAATATGATTAAACGCTTTAACAGGTGCATGGCAATAAATGCTGTTTTTATATTTTATTGTAAACGCTCTTTTTATATTTTATTGCAAAAACAAATATATATTTTAATAAAATATATTTTTATATATGCATGTGATATCTATGAACAAAATATATCAGTATTTTCCCTGTTAAATTATATATTTATAAATAAAAATATATATGTGTCCTATATATTTGTTAAATACTTGAGGAATTATTAAGATGAATTCGATCGATCTTGCGAAAATTTCAAATGATGTAAAGATGACATATCATGATTAGTTGAATTTAACTCTTTCCCAAGAGTTCTACCGCCGCATCTTCTCGGATATAATTCCATCAAATTGTTTCCGCAACAGCTTCTCATTATAATAATACGCAGTTTCGCGAAGTGGAACATTCTATATGACACTTAGCATTTACCAGCGTATTGTAAGTATATGTATAATGCATTTACACACATATCATGTCGTAGCTGCTGTAGAGAGACGTTCGCATTCAATTTACATTATTTGCTCCTAGAGAGAGAGAGAGAGAGAGAGAGAGAGAGAGAGAGAGAGAGAGAGAGAGAGAGAGGGAAAGAAAGAAGGAAAGAGAACGCATTTCTCTTTCATTAGATGATTCTATATCTATAAATATTGAAGATTGATATCTTCGTCATTTAAATAAGTAAAGCATCAAAGAAACTTCACGCTATCTTATTAGAAATCAGCCGAAGCTATTGAGATATATTGTGAAAATTGTCAAAGTTACAACTGAAAAGCAATTTTTTTTTCAAAAAATTATCGGAATTAACTCTGTAGGTTTAGCATTTCTTCTCTGATTTTGCATCTTATTTATCAATAATTTTTTTGCATTTTTCCATAGGATTTTTATTAAAAACAAGTTGATTACAACTACTGTCGGAGACTGTATCATTAAAGAATATAATAAATGAGAGATAATAAAACGCGCAAAAATAAAGATCTAATAAATCAATTGAATGTGTCACAATTCTAAGATGTTCAATTGAAGAATCAATATAGTTGATTTGAGAAAAACATTTCATGATGGAGGATCTAAATCTAACAGACCATTATATGTCACAGTGCACATTGATTGAAATTTTTATATAATTGTGTTGCAACGTTTGCAATATCGAGTAAGAATCTATAAGATTTCAATCACAAATGAGAATTTCTTTATAAAATTAAAAATTATCATAATGTTGCGTGTTTCCCTTTTTTCCTCTATTGACATTTTTAAAAGCTCATTGTTCTGCATCATACAGGTCAGCGCTTTCGTGGATTATTTTATAGAACGTTTACGCGATTTTACCGAGACTCGATATTGTAATATTATAAATCTATACATTCCACGGAGATTCCTAATTCCATACATCTCCGATTTCATCGTTTCTTCACAGATCTCTGATTCCGCAAGTGCACCCTTCACGGATTCGCGGTTTCCTCGGTAATTCACATCGGCGATTAAATCTAAAACTTCACAAATCCTTGATTTTCCGGATCGATAGCTCGCCGGGTGCTTCGTTTCGTAGAATATTGCCTTGGCGAATTATCGGTGCGCGCCGAGAAAAAGAAAAAGAAATATTACGGAACGCGGAGATCGAAGTTTCAAGCTGGCTTCCCCGATATATAGTCGCTATCCTTAACTAATTTTAACTTTGAAGAGAATTCCGTGACCGATTCTTCCTCCTGCGTAGGAACTGTCGAACCTTAGTCCGCCGACACGGGAATCGTTTCAAACCAACACAAGACTTCTCGGGTTCAATCGGTAATCAAACTATCTGCGGAAATATAATAATCCACGAAGTGATAAAGTGAATAAACTGAATTAATCGAAAGCCCTCTTTGGTTAAAGTCGGGCTTGGGACAATCGAAGGGTCGAGAGAGAGTTATTGTTTGATAATACCGTTATATAGTTAGTCCTAACTTGGACAAAAATCACGAAATTTAGGAATACAAAGTATAAATTTTTCAATAATGCCGTTAGAGGAAAAAAACTCGAAAACAAATTTTCACGTAAAATTTGCGGTTGCATGAGAAATTTTCTCCGGAATTTTCTTCTCATATAATACATTTATAAAGGAATATAATTGAGCGAATAAACGTTGCATCGTTTATATTTTCTTACATATTCTTCAAGCGTGAAAAGTTACTGATTACACGCTTGCTACATATGACGTATCGACGTCATTCATCTACTTCCCTTATTTCCAGTAACGCGATTTTTATATCAAAGTAATTTCCACGTTGCAACATTATCGATCAGCAGATCGTTCGTTGCGCGTAAACACGCGAAAATCGCAAACCTCCCCGTCGCCCATGGAAATTGTCGATGATCGATCGCGAAAGCGCAAATGACATCAATGGGAGCAAGCGTATAATAAATTACGTATCGCGCGGAATGCGAGCCGTCTCTCGGTTTTACGTATTTCGCGTAATTGGACGAGAGCTTAACAAAGTTTTTAGCGTATTAAGCGCGCAAAACGGACCGCGTTTTAATCAACGTATGAGGGAAAATAGCGCGCGTTTAACATTAATTTAATTCGAAAAATCTCTTCGGAAAAGAGGAAGGAAGATTTTCCTCTCCGAATCAAAGAATCTCTCTTCCTCCCTTTCTTTCGGGCATAAGCCGCAGGCAAATTGCGGATTGAACAAACGAGGGTAACATCGGTTTTATACCAGCAATTAACGTTTTATTGACACGTTATACTGACACTCGCGTGCGTACTTTCATGCAAGCGCGTTTAACGTAAGATGCCCGGATAATACTCGAATAACGCACGTTTGTTACACGCATCGCGTCGTATAATATAATAAAATTTATATCGCGCTCCGACATTTCTAGCGATTTTTTTTTTCGATGAAAATTATATCGTTGTAACGTTCGCAGGAATCGCTCGCTCATATAAATGACGCGGATAAATAACGTACACACGGATAGAAAACCAAGCGGTGCGTTGCCGTGTGCGTATCGATATTAATCAATATAAACGCCAAAGTGTCATATCGGCGCATATTTTTTAGACTCACAAGAGTCTTCCGTTACTTTAAAGTGCACATATATTTTTACGCGCGTGCATTTGTTCCCTTCCTGTGTGCGTAGACGCGTTCCTGACGCTAAAAGTGGATGGTAAAAAAAATTTTATCGAAAATTTTCAAGTTTTAACATATAAAAGAATCTTCATTTTACGACGAATTCTCATCTCGCATATTTCACAACTATAAAGCACTTTTTAGTCCCTTTCAATATTAAAAAGAATGAATAAATAAAATAACGCGAAATCTCGAAAATCGATTCGTCGAAAAAATCTATCGCGGAAACGAAATTACACCGCAGTAACTGACGACAATTATTACTCGGGCAATTATTTATCGTTATGCCGCGTACGTGTGAAGACAAGGCGACAAGAAAATGTCAAACGATTATTATCTCTCATTTACAGGTTTGAGTTAGAACGCGTTGTTGCATAATGGTGATTAATTATATTTATGATCGTTCTCGCGCGAGTAATATCGCGGCGATTTGACGGTCGTCGCGTGTATGGGAATTGTTTACGTTCAATAAAATCGGTATTTTCATATTTTCCTACCACGCGGAGATGACTCGTGAGAAGCGTGCTCTTAACGAAGACGTTATTACCGCGAGCCTTCGAGACTGATTGCTCCTCGTCAATAGGAGGGCTGACTCCTCCCAAAGACTATAAAAGACGAGCCTGGTCGCGGATCGATCGCCAGTATACAACCGCGCCTTTTTATTGTCGCGGTGTCGAGAAAACGTGCAGTTTCGCGCAGGGTGCACAAAAAAAAAACATCCGCACCGGCTTGTCGCATCTGGTTCACTGTTGGCGGTTTTTAAAAGGGTGTGACGCTTGAAGGGTGAGTTTCTCAATTTGCAACGAGTAGCATTTCGCTGTTATTTGCCGCTCGGTTAATGCCGAACATTATTGAAACAAGGAAAATGTGTGCGGATGAATTGATGAGCTTCGCGAATAATAGGAACATTATTCGACGATATTCTTTGATTTTTCTCTCATTTGTCTGTCTATTTATAATGCTTGTATCTTAATGGAGTCGTATTGAAACGACGAGTTCCCCGATATGTAATGTTTCCCGTCGAATTTCATTTCGTCTCTCTCTTCATTAGAATATAAGCTATGTTTTATACACAGTTTATATTATAATGAAGCGATATTGTGAGAGAGAGAGAGAAATATTTAATTCGGGGGAATATTATTCTGCGGTGTTCGCTCTTCAGTTCTGTGGTAAGAGAAAACGTACATTATAATACTGTTGATGGACTTTTATTTGAATGTTAAAATGTTACATCGGAGAATTTTATATTAAAATCCGTATTATCGTTCAGAATAATATTCGAGGAACGAATAAATGTATAACGATTGTAAGTAAGGTAAATATATAGGTAATGTAAACATCTATATAATTTAATTAATAAACGTATAAATATAAAAGACTCTTTATCTGCAATATACATACAAGTTAGCAAATAATGGCGAACGAATATGCTTTTCTAGCCATACGTCGTAATTGATGATGATTCCTGCGAAACGGATTTCTCCGTTGAACTCGAGAAACAAAGAGAAAAATAATGGAAAACGAGAGAATGTAGCTTCCATGTTTCCGGGGTTCCGAATAATCGGACGAGCACGATGCGAAAGCCTGAAAACGGGGTTTTAACGAAGTGGCGAGAGGGTCGCGCGCGACGAAGAGACGTAAAGGTGCAAGGAACCATGTGCACAAAAACCTGCACGTATGCAACAGTGTGAAACTCTTCATCACACATTGCTGCCGGGTGTTACCGAATAAAATCGTGGGTGCGATGCGGGAGATCGGCAAAACCGTTTGATGTAGTTTTCGACGAAACCCCGATGAGACTGTCTCTGGTAGAAGCTCAAGGCCTCCCTCCTTCCCTCTCATCCTTCCCTCTATCCTAATTAACGCGGCATTTAATTATCTCGCCGCGATTTAATGGTATTCAAAAATTTCGCGAATAATTTCTCACGATCTTGTTATAAATTAAAATCGATACTTCGAATAACGGAAAACTCACTTATTTCCTCGTAAATATGTTCTTCGCACGAACTATAATATAAGTTTCTGAGATAATCATTTTCGAGATTATTCATGGTTCGTTAGCGATAATGTTTACACGACGGAAGAATCTCATTGTACGTCATTAATTATGCATATACATGATTTATCGTCCGATTATCATGAAAAAAATGTTCATATGTAACGCGACAAGATCTTGATATTGTATTAATACATTACGATAGTACGTTTTTAAAATCCGTTATGAATTGAAGAGACGATTATTCAGTAATTAAATCAGGTCGTTAATTCCCATTTGATTGCAGTAGTTTTCACATGCTATCTCTATGAGAAATAATATTTATTACACGAGAAAGATGCATATGAGGCACATTATTTTTGTATTCCCTCTGCCACTAATATGACGCGATAAAACGTAAAATATTCTCCTTGCGCAATAATCAACGTTGCGAGATAATCTTGTGATGAGTTTAGCGATGTAATTACTTTGCGTTATAATGAGCGTCAATATTCGCCAAAAACTTCGTATTTTCGTAGGAAAATCTCTCTCGACGACGACAATTTTCCGAAATTCCCTCTTGTCACCCGCTATGCACTTAAACAATCGAGACGTATGATTCGTGTGCAATACATCACGGCGAATTTAAACTTTACTTTATTTATTTTGATTCCATTTACGTTATTGCGAAAAACTACCCGTATCGTTGGACAGTGAAATATAATTATAGATGCGTTAAGATAATTGCCTTTCCTTTTCACGACACATTTGTTGATGAACTCGGAATTGATTTCTTTTCAGGTGAGAATTCTTGACTTCTAATTCATAAATATATATATATATATATATATATATATATATATATATAATTCTTCTATATATAAGTAATTCTTCCCATTCTGAATTTAATTATATTTGCGTTGCACACTGCAATTTATTACTGTCAATACACGTAGTGTTGGAATTGATCTCTTTTTAGATGAGAAAATTCTTGGCTTTTCGCTCGCAAATATATATATATATATATATATATATATATATATATATATAAAATTCTCTATTTTAAACTTAATTTGCGTTGCAAATTGTAATTTATTATTGTCGATAGGTAGTAGAGAAATAAAGTCGATATAAAACGAACTTATTTATAAATTTATATATATATATATATATATATATATATATATATCAAGAAAAATTCATCATACATTGTAATGTCGTAATATCAGTTTGAATAAACTTTGAGCTCAGAAATTTAAAGTTCAACAAGAAAAACTTTAAAATGCAAAATTACACTCATCTAAATTTAAACATTACAATATATTAGAAATATCTAATTCCATTTGAATTCCTGTTTTCCGTGCTCTATCGTGTTTTCAAATCGAGGAAGAGAATGACAACATGAGAGTATCTCGTTTTCAGGCAGCATAGGTATTACGTGTAGCGAAAATATTACACCTGTATAAATTTTGCACGTGACTTTTCAGACACGCACGCGCACGCGCGTTACTCGTTGCACGAGAAAATGTATTTAGCCGGTAATGAGCGGCTGCAAGTTTTTGTTATAATTAGGTTGTTAGCTCGCTCTTCCGGTATCCCGGGTGCGCGGGAGCATTCATGGAACCGGGATTTCTTTATAACGCGTGGGACTGGGTGTATGAGAAAAAAAGAGGCGCATAGAGTGCATCACGCCGGTGATGCATATGCACGAGCACGTTTTATAAAGAGAGAAAGAGAGAGAAAGAATAGTTGATTAGCCCTTTTTCTGACACGCGTCCCGGAAATGTTGCCTTTATTAACCAAGATGAAGAAAAAACTCCCTCTCCCAGACTCTCCGCTCTTTGTTACAGCGAATAATTTCGGCCTCTCGTCGCGTTGAATTTCGATCCCTTTGTTCTTCCTTTTTTCATATCTTCATCTACTCTTGGGATATATTCGTGCGATAATTAAATCACGGAAGCAAGAATTAAATAATCATATGCATATACACAGGGTGTCAGGGCAATCTCTTCCCAAAAAAAGCTCTTGCAACTTATCTCGAGAGCTTTTCAAAACACTATAATAAAGTATTTCATCGAGTACTTTTCGAGTTACGAGGCTTGAAATAATCTCTTAATTTTACATAAACCATAAAATATCTAGTAAAATATTCGCTTTTCAATTATCTTATCTTAATACTTTTATATACAAAATAATGAGAGGAATCAATTGGTGTAATTTGCAATTAACAATTACATATTTTTTTTCGAAACAATTATGTGTTTTTTTTATACTAATTGATTCCTCTCATTATTTTGTACATAAAAGTATTAAGATAAGATAATCGAAAAATGAATATTTTATTAGATATTTTATGGTTTATGTAAAAATTGAGAGATTATTTCAAGCCTCATAAATCGAGGAAAAAAAATACTTTATTATAGTGTTTTGAAAAGCTCTCGAACTACAAGAGCTTTTTTTGGGAGATTGTCCTGACACCCTGTATATTCCTTAAGAAATAAAGCTTTGTTTAGATTCTCGCAATAATAAAAATTTAAAAGAACTTACACTATTCGTAGAACGCTACTCTGTTTCTATCATTTCACGAGTTACTCTGTACATCGGTATGGATTGCATCACATGTGTACGTTTAAGGAAACTTTCTCGTCTTTCCCCTGGATAAACAAACTTATCCCGATCTGTTCGAGAAAAAAAGAGAGAAAAAGTGTAAAAGAATGTTCTCTCCTTCCAAATGTGTTCTCTATATTGGCCATGTATCGATATCGTTCCCATTTGATTCGGGGTCGAGGACAATGCGGGTCTTATGGGATTGACCCCATATCACTGTTACGAGGTATTCAACTCGCATTCGCGCATCATAAACATTTTCTTTTTGTTGTGCACGTCATGTAAATAAAGTCTAACATGGACGGGTGTCGCAGGAACATCGATATTTCGCCTCTCTTCCTCCTCGTTCTGATATTTATGAGCTATAAAACTGCACTTGTGGATTGACCTATAAAAATTACAGTGTGAACGACAGCCTACGATGTCGGTAGTTTCTCTTAATAATTATTGCCGTCGCTGCCTTCTAAATATCTTCAAATTCAAACACGGATTATTCAACTTAGTCAACTTGGAATCGCTTTTTTTTTTAATATTTCATACTCTTTCTTTTTTAGAATCTTCAATTAATTAAAAATAAATTGTAATTTCTTTGAAATATTCCTGCTGTCATTTTTAATTACTGTACCTTTACAAGTGTTTGCAATCATATTATTTTCTGTATCTCGATAGAGAAAATAATATACCTCGTCAACATCGTTATTTTTACACTTTCATTTATTATCAAATATTGGATGTTTTTCTAATTCAATTTCTTAACAAAAATATTTGATGGAGGTAAAAATACCGTACATTGTTTAGATAAAACATTTATCTTATTTGTTTCCTGTCATAAATTGTGACATAATGATCACTGTGACATAATGGTCAATTGATAATGTGACGTGTCATAAATTATTATGTCATTATTATTATATTGTATAAAGTAAGCTATTTCAAATTTAAATGTATATTTATCAAGTCATTAAATTTTTAATATTTCGATATCGATGTTTTGATATCAGTCATAAAACACACATTAATCTTACATTTATTTTACATTCTAAAACTTTTTAACTCTCAAAATATTTTAAATTTATTCACTGACACATTTTTATTAATTAAATGGAACATTTTTATTAATGTATACATATCTCTATCTCAAAATTTATAAATCTTTCCCTCCATTGTATTTTCGAATGAAGAAAAACAATCATTTTCCTTT